GAAATGACTGTGGCTTCCTGGGATGCTATCATACAATCACAGAATTGTAGAGTTGGAAGGGACCACAAGGGTCAAAAAATGCAGGAATCTTTTGCCCAATGTGGGGCTCAAACTCAGGACACTGAGATTAAGAATCTCATGCTCTACCAGCTGAGCTGTCCCAGCAGTATTGCGTGAAGCACACTTCGCTTTGGAGGTCACCTGGGCCTCCAGCAACAAAGATGGATCCAGAAGCACCCTCAGACTATGAACCTGCTCTCTGTGGAGAGTGTGGCTATATTGTGCGAAGAGAACTTACGAAAGCATTTGTAGTTGCATAGGAAGCTACAGACAGTTCTAAGCTAGTTCTATTTAGATCTTTGACTTTCAGGAGTCAAGCATGTTCCCTGGCATGTGTCAGAAAACAGTACTTGACCTCTCTGAAATGCCTTTTCCTTTCATCTCCATTCCAACACTGTACTTCATATGAAATCTATCCTATAAACTGGAGCGTGGGGCAAATGACCTAAAGTGCAGCATGGGTGTGTGTGTGTGTGAGAAGTGAGTGCTGAACCCTCCCCTAACCTGAAGCTGCTTTTCCTATCTCTGCCTCTCTCAGTGGAAGTTACATCCAGTATTTCCACTGGGGGAAATGGCTAGGGAAGTGTTTTAAGAGAATAAAGTATGAGTTCAGTGTTCTCTTCCTGCACTTCAAATTGATCCCAACTCCTGCTCTACAGGAATTCAGCAACAGTTTGATTTTAAGGCATGGCTCTCCTGCCATACACAACTTTACTTCACTGTTAGTAACTGTTCCTGTGCAGAACCCAAATCTTTAAATAAGGCAATCAGATAAAAAACCAGTTCCTGAAACCAGGAAACTTACAAGCGTTCTTAAAGCTTGATTGTGTCCCATCCCCCCGACCTCTGCTGCCCTCTCATCTGTAACTGGGACTAAAGCAGTGGTAAGTGGTCTTATTATCTACCCTTTAGCCTTTCCTTTATATATGAGATCTGCTGCTTTGCATGTTCTAGAATAGCACAGGCCCTTACCCACATTGCTCAGATTTCACATGTGTGGCAATAGGTATTGCCCTAAAATAAAACACCATGGGAAACGCAAGCAAGGTCTGGCGTACTTGAGACAGCGGATCTTGTTGTTGGAATATTTTAGAGCAGGATATTCCAAGCAGGAACAAGTGTGACGGTATCGTACCAAAATAGCCCTCATTATTGTTCATTTGTTTATTTGGGTTTTATCTTGCCATGTCCCAAAGGCTAAAAGCTCAGAATAGTCCATGGGCAGAATGCCTGTTCTTATCCCTGATCCTTAAACCCGTGAGAGCCCTTGTGGTGTAGTGGTTAGAGTGCTGGAGACCAGAATTCAAATCCTCATTTGGCCATGAAGTTCCCTGGCCAGTTGCTGCCTTTGAACCTAAACTCAAGGATTAAATGAGGAGGGGGTAGAACCATGTATGCCACCTGGAGCTCCTTGGATAAAAGATGGCATATAAATGCAATAATAATAATAACAACTGTAATAATAGTTTGGGAGGGCAGTAGTTCCAAATTAGTTGTCTGCTACACCTGTGATGCTTCAGCTGAGGTTTTTGTTGTTGTAAAAAGAAACAAACAGATGCTGTATCGAAGCGGTTTTTGAAATGCATGCTTGCACAATTAAAAAGCTGCCTTGCACTAACTGCAGAGTACTTTGCGGCCCCCCCAACCCCCCCACGCATCCACATTTTCTTTTTGTTTTATATAGGCCATTGAGAAACTACATAAGCCAAAATGGCATGTCCTTTCCTCAAGGAAAAACAAAAGGTGATAAAGCAAGAGAAAGAGGGAAGAAAGAGAAGAGGCACATCTAAGAAGGGCTGGTTGTAGAGATCAGATAAATTCCAGCCCAAATGCCCTTTCTCCCCCTCTCCCTCCTGGTTTGCAAGTGGCGCTATACCAGAAGAATTGTGGCCTGTATGACTGGATAAACCTTCAATATCCTACATCCAAATTGGGGCTGCGAGGCAACCACCTGGAGAGCCACCTGATACTGTGAAAATCAGGACTAAGGTATAGGATTAAGCCATGGGTTGTGACAAGGCAGCCCCAAAGAGAGAGTCCCTAATCTACTGCGCCAAACTTGCACCCTGTTATTTCAGCAAAGTTCCTTCCTGCTGACTTTAATGGGACTCACATGGCTGAAGTGCCAGCTGGGTAACCTTTTATATATTTACTCCACTCCCAATAAAGCCTGAGTGATCACACTTGCAGCCCAGAACATCTCAAATGACAGATTGCTTTCGGGCATGGCTTGCAGAGGAGGCAGCTTTGACCTTTGGAAGAAAGGCCAGCGGCAGTTGTCCCTCTTCCTTCAGGCACAGCCACACTGCGCTTTTCATCCCCAGCTCTGACTTCCGCACTGCGGGGCCAGCTGAAGAGTCTTTTGCATAGTGACTGCCCTTTGAGGATTAGTCAGGACTCCTCTGGGCCATGTGAGCTGCTCACAGCAGTGCCCAGAGGCCTCCAAATCTTCTGGTGGGAACTTGGGACAGAGCAGGGTTGCCAACTGACGCCTTTCTGCCCTGCGGCTGTGTGTTGGCAGCCATTTTACAGAAGTTGCTCCACATATTAGCCCCTTACACAGATACTGAGTGTGGGAGATTTGATGAAGCATCTTCTCTGTTCCAAAACCTGGAGATAGCCAACACCCCCAATTTTGTTAATATTTGATGAGTGGCAGAGGAATCCAAACCACGGCCAAGCAGTGGTGAGATATGATGGAGGAACAGAGCCTGGGTGGTGCCTGACGCCATCAAATGGCAACAGTGAGTCTGGCTAAGGATGCAGCAGATCCTGAGCCTGCTCAGTAGCTCACCTGCCCCTCAATGCCCCATTTCGGGGCTTTCCCTAAATTGCCAGAAGCTGGAAGCCCACCAGCAGAACTTCCACCTGCCTGCGGCTTCAGCAGACAGAGTTCTCTTTGCGTATGCTGGCAGAGCTATTGTGGGCTGAGTGGATGGAGACCTCTGCCCCATCCAATATCCCCCTCCAGCAGCGCAGACTGAGGGTTTGGATTGCACCCTAAATGTATTTTTGTAGGTAATCTCCTGCACTGTTAACTCCAGGAGCTGTTATCTGTCCACTGTCTTACAGGGGGGGAAATGCTCATAAAGCACAGCATCTTCTTACTCTACTAACCTAGTTCTGCATGTATTTCACATTCAAGATGCTTCCCTAGCCTGACTCAGATATCCTAAGCAGCTGTTGTCTTATGGTGGTCAGCATTAAGACTCTTGGGGCCCTCCTTTTTTTCACAGCTGCTCAAAATGTAAGACCAGCACAGATGTATGGCTGTGCTTGAATGGCTGCTCCCACAGCAGATAGCTTCTGTGCTGCAGAGTTAAACCAAAAGCAGAGACAGAAGTACTGAAAGGTCTCTTATTTTCAGCAGAATTGGCCAGTGTTGGGCAATCTGAGATCAGTATGATTTCCACCTCTTGATTATGGGGTGTTGGGAATGCTGAACTAACATGCTCTCAACATGCAGAAATTCTTGGTCCTGACTCTGGCTGTATACCCTAAGAGGTGGGGGGAAACACCAGATCTATTTTTGTTCATGAATCAATTAGTGTTGTGTGTGTCTGCCAAACAAGGAGGAGGGAATAGACACTGAATGGCTGCATAACATAACATTTTGTCCAAGACCAAGAAGTCTTAAACATAGCCTAAAACTCATGCACTGGAACAGAATCAGAAATTTTGGAAGGGATCTGAAGGACCATGCAGTCTAATCTGAGGCAAAGCATCCTATTCTGTAGGCATATGTAATGAATGCCAGCTCAATTCTTCTTGAAAATCTCTGAAGGAGAGGTTCTGTACTCTACCTATACTTGTTAAACTTTGTTCCCAATGATCAGTAAGCTAGTGGCAAAACCCTGACATTTCCAAAGTGAGTTGACCTTTCATAGGTTAAAGCAGCAGTGAGGGAGCCACTTCCCTATAGTTTATTTCCATGTCTCAACAGTTACATTTGGAGGTTTGGGACCAATTGGTTGGGACCCACACTTTTTGCAAACACAACCTATTTCTCTTGACCTGATGCAATTGGTGTATACTAATTGGAATGGCCAACCAGTATTTTTATGGCAAAGCTCAGTCGAAGAATGGGCTAGAGAATTAATTGTCACATATTTCAGAGAAGGGGGGCACACGCATGTTAATCTGTTGCAACAAAACTAGCCAAGAGTTTCATGGCACCTCATTTCACTGGTATGTGCAACATATGATCAAAAAAACCACCAGCACATGTAACTTGGTTTCAGTGCATGAGCTTCTGCAATGGGCTTTGCTACAGTTTAGAATATATCACCCAAGGGGCAAAAGCTGTTACCAGATTTCTACATCCTGAAGGCTTGGTTTAGCCTTCATTTTGGTACCCCTGGTGATTCAGTTGGGGTATGTGTATAGCAAATTAGTCAGGCAGAGAGTATTTATAGAAGGTATCAGCATGCTAGAAGCATCTCAGCAATTCTCAGAAGCTGTTTTGCTGTGTAGCTCCCTAGCTCCATTCTTGTGTGTATATTTTTAAATTAATAGGCACATTTATTTACTGCCATGTGCAATATGAATCTGGGCAGAACCTGGCCTGAAAAACAAATCTGTAATTTCACAGTAGTTCTCAGCAGGCAGCTTTGGGAAAGAGAGAGAGAGAGAGAGAGAGAGAGAGAGAGAGAGAGAGAAGCAAACTTGTCTCAAGGTCATTTTTTCCTGTTGGAAATGCATAAAAGGAGCTGTCGTCTCTGTAAACAGGCACTGCAATTCTATGCATGTTTACTCTGAAGTAAGTCCCACTGAATTCCTAAGTACATATGGTTGCAGCCTAGATTGTAGCAATAGTCAAGCAAAGTTTTGCAAAATGGCATTCTTACGCAATGGTCCCTAGGCCTCTGTGAAGCCTTCAGGGTGTATAAAAATAGAACCAAGGTCCAGCTACACTGGTGAATCCAAGCCAGAGAGCGCACATGTATTCCTTTTGACATTTAGGCTACCATTTTGCCTAATGGAAAAGAGCAGAGCCAAGATATTTCGCTGTTTGAGGCTGAACTGCTAATGGCACCCCCTCCCTCCACATTAAGGTAAATAATAATGAAGGCTGGCCAAGTGTTTTTGGCAGCTGAGGCAGGAAATCCCAAAAGTGCCTCTCCTTGGGAGTAAAATATACAATTAAAATTTAAAAATTTGCTGCACAGTATCTTGTATTAATTTTAGAATTATTAGTATCTTACCCTTTTTATACCATTTAAAAATAATTATTGTATATATCTCATTGGTTTTTTTTTATAAATATCAACATTGTTTTAAACTACACATTTAATATTATACTTAACAAATTTTATTGTGTTTTATGTGTTTTGTTTCCTTTTTATCTTCTCTACTGGGCATTGACCGAAATATTTATATCTGAAGCATCTAACTGATGGCAGACCTACTCATGAGTAAACAATCCTGCCTGCCATTTCAAGCAGCAAGCAGGGTGCAACCCATCCTGGGAGCAGACTTGCACCATGAAAATTCCTCTACCTTCCCTGCCTCCCCCAACTCTAGAGATGGGGAATGTCAGCATGCAGACAGCAGCACAAGAATACCCTGGCTGGAACAATAAGGTACAAGCGAAAGAAAGAGACTGATACAAGATAAAAATCTGCAGAGGGGTCTTGATACTCAGACAAGGTTCATGGCTTCATCACTGGAATTGTGGAGATGTAAAATTGTTTTTAAAGTAAAGAGATACATCCCAAGGCTGTTTCTCAAATGGCCATTGAGGGAGCATTAGTTGCCTTTACTGGGTCATGAATAGGGAACACCTCGCATATCCAAGACAAAATATTGGCAAGAGGCTGAGCTAAAAGAGAAGCCTTAAAATGCAGGTGCTCTCTCTAAAACCTCTATATGTTATGCTGCTATGGAAATCTGCCAGCCCAGGGCATGAGGGAAATGCTTTTTATCTTGCCTCAGAAAGAGAGAGGTGGAGGCATAAGGAGTTTGGGCTGGGGCAGCGTTGTCTTCTGTTGCTTTACTTACAGTCACTAGGGGGAAGTTAATTAACAACAGTAGAGGAAGTGTGTGAGCTGAACTGCTTTTAACATGCTTTAGAAAAAATAATGGGAGTGAGCGACATAATAACTTTTTGGTTAAGGCAGGCAGCAAAGTGTTTGATAGAAGAATATCAGTTTAAGAGCCTCTTATCCCATAATACATATTGATAGTTCACTTCCCTGATCCTATTTTGAAAACGTATTGATTACAAGCTCTTTTAGATCTTTAAGGCTCTCTCTTCTTTCACAGATGTTTCATTCGAAACACATTTTATCGTGGGTCTGTGTAGATTAGAGTAACAAAATTTTGTTTTTAGATTTTAAGAAGCATGCTTCTAGATTCCTAATTTGTTTCTTTTTAATCTCTTAACTATGTATAAGCGTCTCTATTCTTTCCTAAGTACTTATAGGCCTCCCAATAGCCTGGTTCTTGGGGCAGCTTGTAATAGAATTAAAAACAAGCTAAAATTTCATACATTTGAATAAAACATGTGGGACCGGTAATAGGGACTCAGAAACTAGCTGATTAAAAATCCCAGGAAAAGGTATTTGCTTGGCACCAGAAATTCAGTGCGGTTCAACTCATCCAGTTTATGAATTGCTTCACACAGGAAAAGTCCCAAAGCAATTTACAACAACAACCCTATAAAATCCTTTAAAGCAAAACAAACACACTAAACACGTTCATCCACAGAAAACAAAGAACATAAAATCAGCCTTGAAGCCCATGTAAGGATGAACACCGAAAACCAGGTCACAGCTAAAAATCAGAAAAGATACCAAGGCTGGCATTCCACAGCTAGGGTACCACCACTGAAAAAGCACTTTCCCCAGTAAAAAACCACTGTCCCTCACTCAGTAGGGGCATCTGGAGAAGGCCCTTCAAAGAGAATTTTAAGGTTTGGGGAGCTTCAAGTGGTGATGGACAATTCTTCAGGTACCCTGGTCCCAAACTGTAATTCTTTCAAAGTTCAACACTGCCATTTTTAATTGGTCTCAGAAACAGATTGGGAGCTAGTGAGGACAGGGAAGCACGGGTGTGATATGCTCATATACACTTTTTCCTGTATACATGGGCGTAGCCAGTATTTATGTTGGGAGGGGGCAGGCTTCATCTTAGAGGGGGCAGAACCTCAGTTAAGTATTGGCTATGCCCATGCCTGTAGATATTTGAGGTCCTCTTCAGAGGCCCAGTTCTGAGCACCCCCACCCAGTGAAGTGAGGGAGAGGGTCTTTTCAGGCACAAACCCCTAGCTATGGAATCGCCTCCCCTGAGAGGTTTGCCTGGTGCCTTTTTAATAGTCTTTTCAGCATCAGATGAAGAACTTTTCCTTCTCCCAGGCTTAAAAAAGAAGTCAGAACTTCCCCCACCTGGCACTTTAGAGCAAGCATTGCTGTTTGGTGAGCTGAGAGATAGTGGAATTTGCCTTCTGGAGCATGCGCTACCTCTCTGGGAGAGAGGAGATGACGTCAGCTCTAGACACATGATCCCCAGTGCCAGTTAGATTCAGACAAGATGCCTGGTGTCCTGTATCTTGGCTCACCTTACAATGTGACTTAGGAGAGCAGGAAATGGGCAAAGATCAATGCTGAGTGTTAATGTTGTTTAGACTGATGATGATTCCATCTGCCTGCCCTGCCCCCATGACTTTGCTTTCTAAGACCTTGGATTTCACATCTAAACAAGCACAGCCTTCCAGCAAGTTGCTAATGGAGAGGAGGGGAGATCCCACATTCACCTTTAGTTAATGATAAATAGCATGTACAGTGGTACCTTGGGTTAAGAACTTAATTCGTTCTGGAGGTCCATTCTTAAACTGAAACTGTTCTTAACCTGAGGTAGCACTTTAGCTAATGGGGCCTCCCACTGCTGCCATGGTGCGATTTCTGTTCCCATCCTGAAGCAAAGTTCTTAACCCGAGGTACTATTTCTGGGTTAGCAGAGTCTGTAACCTGAAGCGTCTATAACCTGAAGCGCCTGTAACATGAGGTACCACTGTATATAACACTTAATGGAGTATTTTAAAGCTTTACATCACATACATAGGGTTGTATCCAATGCTAGTCCTACTCAGAGCAGATCTTAGTTGGATGAAATCCATTATTATCAGTAATCCTGACAACAACCCCATGTTGCAGGCTGGGAGGAGGAGTAGCTGAAGCTGACGGTGGTTGACCTGCCTAAGACGACCTAGTGAGTTAATAGAAGAGGCGTCATTTGGCCTTCCCAGGTCATGCTCTTCTTAGTCACAGAAGTGCATCAGCTTATTTGAGTACAGCAACATGAATACAGTATATTAACCTTATGCAAGAAGACTTCACTGATTTGGGGGGTTCCTGCCAAGTAGAGGGACCGTCAAACAAGCACCTGTTTCTCTCTAAACCAATTCCAGGTGGCAGCCTAGCTCTGTAGGGGAACCCTTGGGGTCTCATTAAAGAAAAAGATCAAATTATTGCTGAGCAAGGGGATGGAAGTGCTTCTGGAATTGTCTCAGTGTGCTTGATGAAAGGTCTGTGCCAGATCACAAAGAAATGGCAATGTAACAGTGTAACTGCATAAGAACACTACAATGGTACCTCGGTTTACGAACTTAATCCGTTCCGGAAGTCCGTTCTTAAACCGAGGTGCACTTTCCCTAATGAGGCCTCCCGCCGCCGGTGCCCTTCCACTGTTCGGATTCCGTTCTTAGACCGAGGTAAAGTTCTCAAACCAAGACACTATTTCCGGTTTTGTGGAGTTTGTAAACCAAATCGTTCTTAAACCGGACTGTTCTTAAACCGAGGTATCACTGTATTCAGAAGAAAGGGATGGACAATTAAAATTGCAACCTTAAGAACAAACCAACCCACCATTGTCAACAAGTAGCACTCATTGTCAGAATTAAAACTAAAAGTGCATGTATACTGAAGGGTTGGGGTGGCTTGTAACAGTAGCTGTTGCAGTTTCGAAGACATTTTATCAACAAAAAGTGTGTCTATTAATGCTCAGCTATAGGCCTGTTTTTCTCATTCTCAGATGCAGTCTCATTATGGAAGGTGAAATGTGCACAGATGGCCTCCTCAAATGGAAATAAACACCATGAATCCCAGGCAGTATTACTTACAAACAGACATTGCAACAAGTGAGATATTTGCACTGTCAACAGGGAAATTCTAAATAAGGAGGACACCAGAGGCCTCGCCTCTCAGTTGTAAATGGGTTTCCCCTTCTCTTCCTGTTTCTGTATCTTTGAAAGGAGCTTGATCCAGCCCCCTTGTCTTCCATCCTCTTTCCCTCCTGTTTTTTCATGTCTCGTTCCCAGATGTACCTTTGAAGTTTCCTGACCATCTGAGATTGCAATCCTGACAACAACCTTTTGGGGGGCTTGCAGATGTTTCTTCACACAAAGGCACAGCTAGCATGAAAGTAATATGGGTTGTAGCCTGACCTGATAAAACAGCAATGAGAAAACTGTGTCTCTCCAAATGCTGCTGGACTACAACTCCCATTACCCTTGACCATTGGTCAGAGGGCTACAAGTTTGTTTTCAAATCAGATGGAAGGTGGTTTGAGAGAAAGTGTACTAATGTCACACATACATGGCTTCAAACACCAGCAGCGGGAGCCCATTGGAGTCACAGTAAACAGTAATGTGTACACAACCTTAGCCTGACGAATGTTAGATCTAGCCCCATGTTTTCGCTCGTGTATCAAATTTCATTTTCCTTCACAAGCAGCAAACAACAACTGGCCTACATATTTTGGCTACTTTTCAGCAGCAAATAATTTCTCCATGGCACAGGTGTTTTTGTACTGCAGAAAGCAATCGTGTAATCGTAGACTGAGCAGTTTCTAGTTCTGCTTGCACAATGTCTTCGGCTACAGGCTGTGACTGTGAGATTGACGCAGGCACAGCACTGAACTCCACAGTGGAGTACTGAGCACTGACAATCCTGTAACCCTGATCAGACGGAAATTAAAAATTATTAGTGGTCTGATTTGCATGGGGAAGAAGGGGACGGCAAGCCTCCCTCAACAAAATTCATTATTGGCAAAGTCCATTGCCACTGTTGCTGTTTCCCCACCACACTCTTTTATTTCAGCTTTGGTAACAACAACAACTAGGAACCATGCAATAAACACCAATCACTAAATGCAAACCCTCTTTCTTGCATTAACATTGAATCTTGCAGCCTGATTTCAATTATGTTTACTCAACGTTCAAAGGGACCTACTTTCCAGTAGATGCTGGGGTCGTGAGCCTACCTTTGTACTGAGGTGTGAATCGTTTCATGGCTGCAGGGAGAGTCTCGTAGAACCACTGCTCCTGGGAGACGAGGGGTTTGCAGACGGTGTAGTCATCATACTTCATCATGCTCATGTGGCCTCCAACCTGGTGGATAAATGGCTCCAGCACAATCCATTTTCTAGAATCCCCAAGGTCCAGATTATTCTGCACCACCATGGTGCAGCAGAGGCACTGGAGCACCTCTCTGTGTGTCTCTGTCCGTCTCTCTTAGATGCTAAGCCACGAATGGAGAAACAACCTGACTTTCGTTCTCTCTAGCTGGGAATAGAAGATGGCTTGAGGCTCTTCACGCCAGCAAGTGAGCTCAGTTCTAAAGCGCCCGTGCCTTCTGGCCGCTGAGTAATCCTCCGAGAACTTTTCTGTAACCTAAAGCATAAATTAAGCAGGTCAGAAAACAGGAACAAATTGCTTCCTCGCTCCCTATTCTCCACCGTCCAATGCAATTCCCATAAAGGTCAGATATCTTTTACAATAGTCCCTACACTTCACAAGCATTATATGTGCTGATTTCTGGGCTAAGGGAAGGCTATATAGCCAGGAAATGAATGCATATTCCACATAACACACTTTTAGAGAGATAGTTACGGGCTGCGTTCCAAGGCCTGAGGTATGTATCCAAGGTGGACCCGATTTAGATTGCATGGATAAGGCTGGCAGAGCAGAAAGGTAAGGAAACATGACCTAGGAGAGCTATCAGGTTAATGTGGCTCCCCTGAAAGCAGCTAGATCAGGGCATTCCTACTGCCAGCTAACATAAAGTTATTAATAAGCTCCTTCTCTCTCCTTATGGAGACTCCTGGTTGGGAGAACAATCTCCATTTGCTTACTGGGGAGCTGCTAATGAGCTTTTCTACTTTGTCTCTGGGACCCCAGGATCAGGACATCCCCTTCCAATAAAGTGACACATTGGGAAACCCACATAGGACATTCCTCACCCATTAACATCTTGGTGTCAACAAAAGTGGGTTTTGCCTTTCCCTCGTGGAATCACTTCACCTCCCTGTACCCACATCTTCCCGAAAGAAACCTCAGATCAGGATGTTCCACATCTCCTAACACTACGACACAGGGAAAGGTTTCCCTTTTCCTTGTAAAGTCACAGGACAGTACTTTTCTTTATTTTTAACCTCCTCCTGCAAGGACAATATATTTATATATGCCCTGGTGTGACTTCGTGAGGCAAGGGGGAAAGGAAAATGTTTGCTGATGTCATTTTATTGACTGGTGTGGTATGTCCTGATCTGAGTTTTTTTAATAGAAAAACCGAGGAGGGCACACAGAGAGAGAGAGGTGGACTGTCTGTCTTCCTTTGCTCTCCTCAGGGCACCCTCCCAAGATACAGCATTCACCCCTGACCACCAGGAAGGCCCGCCCCATGACCAGCAGCAGTGACAAGAGGATGTTCTTGGCTGTTCTTCCATGAGATTGCTCACCAACGTATTCTATGCAAGCTCCAGGACAGACAGTTATGCAACAGGTGAAGGTGGAGCTGGTGCCACAAGAGGCACTGAACCCGCTATCCTTGCTGTCTGCTGAGCCACTGTCAAAGGTGCAAGAGCATTGTTCCACCAGCACCCAAAAATGGTGTATTGGAATGCTTTGCTGATATCAAATAAAACATCCTCCCACTTCCCACTTTGGGAACAATTTTGATTTATTTTTTTGCAGATTTAATATTTACCTGCTTCTTGAAAACATTGACTACCCTACACATGTCTATATGTTTAGATCCATCAGATGTTATAAAGTGTTCTGTTTTAAAGTCAAGAAAGAAGCAAATGTGTCACCCAAACAGTAATGGAAAAATATATATACTAACTTTAGCCAGTAGAGGGCAGGAATGTATGCAACTGGTTCTGTACAATCTGCCTTAAATATCAGGCACAGGGGCAGATCCATACAGTGCAGTCTAGTAAAATACACTGGGGCTTCTAAGAAAACAGGATGTGGGTTGGGGCGCAATGCTGCCATTTTAAAATGTATTATAATATATTTATTGCATCCTGATCTTTATTTGTATTTGTACTTTAAAATGTCTGCAAATCACTTGTGCAAAATGTTGTGCGGTATAGACATTTTCTAAATAAATGAATTTGAGCCTGACAAACTGAAAGAAAGCCCCACTGAAATAAAGAAGAGTTGTTTTCAATTAGATATGCTGATTTAAAATATCACTGCCTGATCCTTTTTAGACTTGGCCATTAAGTAGGCATGGTTTCTATCCTCCCAGAGGTTGCAGACACAGATAGAATAGAAATTTGGCATATTCAATCAAAATGCAAACAATTGCCCAAAGCTATTAATCACAAACAAAATGGTTAAAGTTTGAAATAATTTAAGTGGCTAAAATATCTACTTTTATAATCCACACATAGTCCCTAAAGATGTCAATATGCTTATCTTTAAAGCATTGAGAGTTGGGCTTCCACAAGACTTACAAAATCACTTTATACAACAAAATAGTGCCTCTGGGACTCCTCAGATCCATTTCTACTTTTCCATGCACTTAAAATATGGAATTTACCACAATAGAATGTGGTGATGGCCACCAATTTAGACGATGGTTTTAAATGAAGATTACATAAATCCATTGAGGATAAAGCAACCCATGGCTAGTTAAAGGTAAGGTAAAGGTACCCCTGCCCGTACGGGCCAGTCTTGCCAGACTCTAGGGTTGTGCGCTCATCTCACTCTATAGGCCAGGAGCCAGCGCTGTCCGCAGACACTTCCGGGTCACGTGGCCAGCGTGACAAGCTGCATCTGGCGAGCCAGCGCAGCACACGGAACGCCGTTTACCTTCCCGCTGGTAAGCGGTCCCTATTTATCTACTTGCACCCGGAGGTGCTTTCGAACTGCTAGGTTGGCAGGCACTGGGACCAAACGACGGGAGCGCACCCCGCCGTGGGGATTCGAACCACCGACCATGCGATCAGCAAGTCCTAGGCGCTGAGGTTTTATAGGATGCCTATATATCATTCTCTGTTGTCAGAAGTAGCAGGCCTTTGAATGCCAGTCGCTGGGGCTCCACAGCAGGACTTTTGTGGACTACCTGTGGGCACCTGGTTTTGTAATGTTCTTAACACATTGCACTTGTACCATTGCAGCCCATTAGGCAACTTTGCTCCTAGCTGATGAACTAAGCAAGCCACTAGCCACACATTGTAGCAAGGCACTTATTCCAAACCAAAAAACTGCAAGCAAAGGAAGCCATTTCAGAACGAAGCAAGGAGGACTGTAATGGGCAAAGTAAGTTGCCAGTGAGTACCGTGGCAAATGCAGGGTTATTTTTTGGTGAACAGCAGGGTGTTAAAGCAGTGGTCTCCATTGCTGCCAGGTGGCACAAATAGTTACACATCCAACTTTGCAGTCATATATGTATATTAAGACTTGAAAGCAAACGTTAGTTAGCCTATTCCCAAAGGCCAGATTTGCAGCAGAATTGAGAGTGCAGAGTAAATGGAGCCCCTTTGGTAGTCCTAAAAATAGCCAACTGATTTAAATCTGCTTCCCCCATTGTGTAATTCAGTCTCTCATTGCAGCCTGAGACATTTCAGACAGACAGACAGACAGACAGACAGACAGACACGTCTCTCTGTTGCTTTGTTGAAAGATTGCCCTAGTATTCGATCGAAAGCCCCCTGCAGATATTGGGGAAAGATTTGGCCGACTTCAGCTAGCTCTTTGCTTATTTCCATACAGACATTTCATGCACAAAGACGGGATGTGTAGCATTAGTCCTCAGTGTATTTCTAAATCTACTTTGGCTCCTTTTCCTTCATCTGAAAGAATAACTGTCTTGGGTGACAGAGTGCTGAAAATGAAAAGCTTCATTCTCTGTGAGGAGTCAAGTTCCAGCACCAAGGCCATAAATCCTTGTGTGCACAGACTCTGAGCCCTTTTAATCTTGTATTTCCTTTCCTGAAAGAATATGATGTTCATAAAGTTTATGTCTGGTCCCAGCATCCCTCATGTACAAGAAGCAAAGATACAGTTTGCTTCACTGAAGGATTTATATGGTTGCTCTGCAAAGCTGGAGGATTGCAGACAGCAAGGATGGGAGAGGCATTAGCCAGGATTGATATGCTGCTAAAATGCTGCATCTCTTTGCCTGTGATTGCTTGGGCATTTGGGATAATGGAGGAACTGCTGTTGCTTTGGCAGGTGGTTTGTGTACCTTTAGTAAATTTTCTGTAGCTGTCCCTTGGTCTCCCCCCTGCCATAAGATATATCTGAATAAGTGCCAATATTTTGGGGTGTGTGGCTATAAAAGCTTCCCCCCACTTCCTGCACCATAGTTGGCAGACACTTCTAGCTACCTTCATAAAAATGCTTCTGGCTTTCAGCTTTTTTCATTTCAGTATGGATCTAGGCCAGTTTGGCACTAAGTTCTGTGACCACCCTTTGCTAATTTAGGCAAAGGGAGGGTATTTTGCAAATATGCATATGGTACAGAACTACGAATAGGAATCTCCCTTGCTCTAACCTTTAGGGGGCTGAGCATATGGCCTGGAATGAACTCAAAAGGTACTGTGAAGCTGATCTCCAATTGCAAGGCTTTTCTGTGCCTTAGTCTTAATTGACTTTAATATAAGGTCACCAGATTTTTTCCCCAATGAATCCGGGGACAATTTTTAACTTCAGTAGGAATGATAGGATTTTGTCAGGGGACTGATTTCTAAATCTGGGGACTGTCCCTGGGAAACGGGGAGTCTGGTAACCTTACTTTAATAATGTTTGCAATCAGACCAAATTGTGATCTGAATTTGGTGGCAGCACCAAGGTGGGAAAATCACTTTTTAATGGGGGCATAGGAAGGGCAAGAAGTTTGTCCCCAGTGACAGATTTCTGAAAGAGAAAAATATATTTCACTTCAACACTCTGGTGTTAACACATTTTCCTCTGTAGTCAATCATATTGATTTTGAAGAAGCCAACTTTCAAGTAAACATGCTTACAACAGCA